AGAAAACAAAATAGAATTGGACAGGCAGTTTGAAGTTCGAATATGTACTTGAGCCTTATTGAAAATTACAGCATATTAAGCTTTATGAATGCAGTGGGACCCACCGAGCTTGGAACATGTGTCCCAAGACATGGTCGATCAGTATTTCACACGTCTATCTGCTTTTGAGCCGGAACTCGACCTACCGACAAAACAACGAGAAGCATTTACATGATCTTTCATGAGGAAAAAGCAATGGTTAGCCATTGCAATGCAACGCCCAAAAAGAAGAAAAAAAAAGTTTTTTTTCCAATCACAGTGTTTTCATTCAGCAAGGTCTTATGAGGGTATAGCACGAGGGCATTATCGTCCCCAACACACAAATAATGTGTAAAACGTACTTCATGTCTAACAATGGCATGTTAAGTGCAGTATTGTTCCATTTTTTTGTTATGATGTGGCAGCATTTAATTCTGCATTTTTTAGGACCCTTACCGTCCCCAACACACAAATAATGTGATAACGTTTTTCATGTCGAACAATGGCATGTTAAGTGCAGTATTGTTCCATTTTTTTGTTATGATGTGGCAGCATTCAATTCTGCATTTTTTAGGGGGTCAAATACCCAGAGCAACATTATCCAGTGGAAAATGAAAATCTAGTATAAAATGAAACTAGTAGGGCTGTTATTGAATCGATAAATCGAATTGCTCGCGAACATAGATCGTTTGTGTTCATTCATGTTTGATAATAGCTCGTTCGTTTGGTAATTGATCTAAACTCGTACGTGAAATTATATTCGTTTGCTTATCGAACGAACACAAATAAGTTAACGAACTAAACGAGCATTCACAAACAAAAAGGCATTTTACAATTTTATATCTTATATATATAGTATATACATATACAATATAATATATAAATATTGATATATATTCGATATTAAATAAAATGACTTGTATGACATTAAAAAAAAGGTCAACAAACACGAACACAAACTTGTCGAACAATTCGAACAGTTCACAAACAAGTTCGACTATATAAACAAACGAACACAAACTCATTGAAACAATAAACAAACGAATGAGCACGAGCATATTCAAAAATAGTCGAACTCGAGCACGAAAACCTTAAGCTCGATTCAATAACAGCCCTAATAAGAAGGGTTAACAAAAATGGAAGAGACCAATATTACTACATATTTCCTCCCTGTACTACACATCTAAAAAAAACTTGAATCACAATTGATTCTAATTATTCATGTGCACACAACTTAATAATTTATCACTCCAAGTTTTTCCAAATTTGGATGAAGATTTCTTTGTAGCTTCAATAACATTGTTATCACCCTACATGAATAGTGAAAAAAATGAAGAAGAAAAACGATTCATGCGACTATCTTTCCAAAATACAGAGTATAACTATAACTAATCTCCCCCTTTCGTAGCCTTGTGTGCATTCACCAATTGTGTCTGTACGTCTTGGGAAACTTGCGAGTGCTCTAAATACTCCATCGTAAATTCACCTTTCCCCTGAGAAAATGAAGTTTGCGTCAAAATATGTTTTTATCTAATTTAATTCAGTTTCCTTAACCTGAAAATGTGAAGGACAATTCATCATCTCTAACCTGAGTCATTGACCGAAGGGAGGTCGAATAACCAAACATATTGTTAAGAGGTACCTGAACAGATAACCAAATGATTTGAGGATACTTGCATAAATAACAACAATCCAGATGGAAAAATAAAATAAAAAAATAAAAGAAAAATCCAACAAATACCAGGATAAAAAGATATAGATGGAAACAGAGAAAATCAATAATAGTCTGCTGTGGTTGTAGTAGTTAAACAAACAAATTCGAGTTAAGAAAGTGAAAAATGGTTGACTCCATAGAAAATTTAATTCCAGGCAATTAATCTAGAAGCCTAACGATCCCAAAATTGGGGTTTGAACGTACGGTTAAGAAAATCCGAGGAAATAATAGAAAAATAGCCAAAATCAGGTTCCAGAGTATAAAGGTTTATACTTACATGTGCAGTAATCACACAATCATCTCCTTCCTGGTCGTTCCCCACAATAATGCCTTTCCTCCTGCAAATAGTACACAAAACAAGCTTAATAATAGAAGACACAAACTGAAACACGCACATCCAAACATTAAAACAAAACAGAATAATTATGGGAAATTCTGACTTGTTAATATCGCCAGTTACACTGCCCTGAAATTCTGAGGGGAACTTTAACTCAACTAACATAACAGGCTCCAATATAACAGGTTTTGCTGCTGTATAGCACTGCATCATAAATAATGTTAAAACAACAATATCAATCATTGTAATTTTGTTGTTGTAATCAAATACAGATGAAGCAAATTTAGCACAATTAGTCTTTCATCACTAAATGATGCACCTGTCTGAAGGCATATATAGAAGCCAATTTAAAAGCAAGTTCACTTGAATCCACGGTATGAGCTGCACCGTCGTTTAAAACAATACGAATATTTTCCACTGGATGCCCAATAAGAGAGCCCCTGTCCATATGAAAAAAAAGGAAAACTATGTTAAGTGTGACTATATTGGACAATAAT